AGAGAAACTCACAGGTCTAGGAATGGTCCTAGAGGATAACTTGTGTGTGGACATTATGCTTCAGTCCCTACCAGATTTCTTTTTACAGTTCATAATGAATTTTAATATGAATAAGCTTGAGGTGACTCTCCCAGAGCTCCTCAATATGTTGAGGGAGGTAGAGAGTACTATTAAGAAAGAGAAGCCAGTTCTCTACACTGGTGAGCCCAGAAAGAAAAGGAAAGCAGAAAGGTCCCTTAAGAAGGGAAAGGACAAGGGCAGACCAGGTAAAGCAAAGGTTGCTAAGAAAGACCCAGCAAAGGACAAAGGCCAGTGGTTCCACTGTGGTAAAGATGAGCACTGGAAGAGAAACTGCAAAGAGTACCTTGCAGAAAGGGCGAAACAAAAGCTTGGTGAAGCTTCAGGTACATTCATGATCAATCTCCAATTGTCAGATTTTTATGATAGTGCATTGGTATTGGATATCGGTATTGCTTATCACATCTACAATTTGTTGTAGATTCTAGAAAAATCGAGGAGATTGGCAAGAGAAATATTGCATAATGGTTTATTTATGCTAGACACTACTCCACGAATCATGAATGTAAGTGTGTCCAAAATGAAACAAGATGAGATGAACAGTGCATACCTGTCGCATTGTAGGCTAGGTCATATCCATGAAAGAAGGATTCAAAAGTTGCTAAATGATGAATATCTAGATCCCTTCAACTATGTGTCATATGCAACTTGCGAGCCTTGCCTTCGTGGAAAACTGACAAACTCTCCATTTAGTGGAACTAGAGAAAGAGCCACTTAGCTGTTGGAACTCATACATAGTGAAGTATGTGGACTCATGTCAACTCATGCCATTGGTGATTACTCCTACTTCATTACCTTTACTGATGATTTCTCAAGGTATGGATATGTGTACTTAATGAAGTACAAGTCTGAGGCCTTTGAGAAATTCAAAGAGTATAAGAATGAGGTGGAGAACCAGACTGGAAAGAGTATCAAAACTCTTCAATCAGATCGAGGAGGTGAGTACTAAAGTACAGAGTTTACCCAGTTCCTCAAGGACCACGAGATATTATCCCAATGGACACCTCCTTATACACCTCAGCTCAATGGTGTCTCTGAAAATCGTACGCTATTAGACATGGTACGGTCCATGATGAGTTTCGCTGACCTACCCATCTCATTCTGGGGATATGCCCTAGAAACCATAGCTTACCTTCTGAACAGAGTTCCAACTAAGTCGGTAGTGTCTACACCATATGAGATATGGAAAGAGAAGAAGCCTGATCTTAAGATTGTTAAGATTTGGGGCTACCCTGCCCACATTAAAAGACACAACCCCGATAAGTTAGAATCAAGGACAGAGCGATACAAATTTGTGGGATACCCCAAGGAAACTTGTGGGTATTATTTCTATCATCTCGAAGACCAAAATATCTTTGTAGCTAAGAGAGCAGCGTTCCTTGAGAAGGAACACATTCTTAGCGGAGATAGTGGGAGCATGATAGAGTTGAGCGAGGTTGGAGAACCAAGCTCAAGCACCACTCTACAGCCCGAGTCTGTTCATGTACCTAATACACAAGTTTCAACTTTACGTAGGTCTAGCAAAGTATCCCATCCTCCTGAGAGATATGTGGGACATATTAGAGGAGAGGATGTTGAGGATATTGATCCTCAGACCAACGAGGAGGCTATTATGAGTATAGACTCCGGGAAGTGGCAAGAAGCTATGAATTCTGAGATGGATTCTATGTACTCCAATAAGGTTTGAAACCTAGTTGATGCGTCCGAAGGTATTGTACCCATCGGTTGCAAGTGAATCTTTAAAAAAAAGATCGGAGTAGATGGAAAGGTAGAGACCTATAAAGTAAGGGTAGTGGCTAAGGGGTATCGTCAAAGGCAATGTGTTGATCACGATGAAACATTCTCACCCGCAGTAATGCTAAAATCCATCAGAATTCTATTAGCTATTGCAGCACACTATGATTATGAGATCTGGCAGATGGATGTGAAAACCGCATTCCTCAATGAGAACCTCGAGGAGGAGGTGTATATGATGCAACTTGAGGGATTCGTATCCGAGAACTGCCCAAATAAGGTGTGTAGGTTGCTTAGATCCATTTATGGACTAAAGCAAGCTTCCCGAAGTTGGAACATAAGATTTGATAAGGTAATCAAATCTTATGACTTTGTTAAGAACGAAGATGAACCTTGTGTGTACAGGAAGGTAAGTGGGAGAGCTATCACCTTTTTGGTGTTATATGTGGATGACATTCTGATCATCGGGAATGACATAGAAATGTTATCCACAGTAAAGGCTTGGTTATCTAGACACTTCTCCATGAAGGACTTAGGGGAAGCATCCTATATCTTAGGGATTCGAATCTATAGAGATAGATCAAAGAGGATGTTTGGCTTGTCCCAATCCAAGTACATAGAAACCATTGTTAAAAGGTTTTGCATGGAAAATTCTAAGAGAGGTCTCATACCGATGAGACATGGGATATCGCTTTCTACGAGTATGTCCCCAAAGACTCCAGAAGAAAGGGCGAACATAGATATGATACCTTATGCCTCAGCAATATGGACTATCATGTATGCCATGCTATGTACTAGGCCTGATATGGCGCATGCTTTGAGTGTCACGAGCAGGTATCAGGTGGATCTAGGCTTATAGCATTGAAAAGCAGTAAAGTGTATCATTAAGTTCTTGAAAAGGACTAAGGATTTTTTACTAGTATATGAAGGTAGTAGCCTTAAAGTTAAAGGCTACACAAACTCAAGTTTTCAGTCTGATGTCGATGATAGCAAGTCGAATTCGGGGTACGTATACACCTTGAATTGATGAGTAGTGTGCTAGAATAGTTCCAAGCAAGATACTACTGCTGACTCGACCACAGAGGCAGAGTACATTGCTGCATCAGATGCAGCAAAGGAGGGAGTCTTGGGTGAAGAAGTTCATCACAGATTTGGGAGTCGTGCTGGGTAGCGAGAAGCCGATCTCCTTATATTGCGACAACAATAGGACGATTGCTCAAGCGAACGAACCTAGGTCTCTTTCATGAGCTGATGGACGCCTATAGTAAATCCGACCAGGTTGAGGAGGCAGAAGGTATCTTTCATGAGCTGAAAGAAAAGGGACTAAAGCCAACTACAACAACGTACAACATTCTAATGAATGCCTACAGCAGAAGAATGCAACCTGAAATAGTTGAATCTTTAATAACTGAGATGCAAGGTTTAGGCTTGAAACCAAATGTCAAATCATATACCTGCCTCATAAGTGCCTATGGAAGGCAGAGGAAAATGAGTGACATGGCAGCAGATGCGTTTTTGCGGATGAAAAAGGCTGGAATTAAACCCACGTCACACTCATATACTGCTTTGATTCATGCATATTCAGTTGGTGGATGGCATGAAAAAGCATATGCCGCATATGAGAATATGAAAAGAGAGGGGATTTCACCCTCAATAGAAACATACACAGCTCTGCTCGAAGCATTCAGGCGAGCTGGTGAAACTGATAAATTAATGGAGATATGGAAATCCATGATCAGCAACAAAGTTGAAGGTACAAGAGTTACATTTAACATTATACTAGATGGTCTGGCTAAACATGGTCTCTATGTTCAAGCAAAGAGATGTGATATATGAATTTGGAAAACTTGGCTTGCAGCCAACAGTCATGACCTACAATATACTGATGAATGCATATGCACGGGGAGGGCAACACTGCAAGTTACCGCAGTCGCTGAAAGATATGAGTGCCCTCAATTTGAAGCCTGACTCTGTAACTTATTCGACAATGATATATGCATATGTTCGTGTACGTGATTTTACTGGAGCATTCTATTATCACAAGCAAATGGTCAGATCCTGAGGCCAGATCCTATCAGAAATTGCGGGCTATTTTGGATGTCAAAGCTGCAACAAAAAATCGGAGGGATACAAGTGCTATACTTGGAATACTGAATAGCAAATTTGGTTTGAAACCGAAAAAAGGCAAGAAGGATGAATTCTGGAAAAACAAAAAGAAGAGATCTATTATGACCAGGGTTGTTGGTGATAAAAAATAATATAGTGAAACTCTTCTTAAAATTATAATCGAATGACTTGGTTCTTGTTTGGGCTGATAACTACATCTGCTTGGTTTCATTGGTTATATGTTCTTTCCTCCACATCATGCGGGCATCCATTCCTGACTTGGTGTGTCATCTAAAAACAATTATATCAAATGAGATGGCACACCATTCCAAACAACTAGATGACAGTGAGTTTGGGAATTTTCTTGTGAACCACTGCGAGTGATTATGGTTAAACATGGTCGTCCTTTTTTTTATGAAAATATGACATTGCCTTGTTGATCATTTTTATGGTAGGTAATCTCTTTTTTTACATTAATTATTTTGATGTGCAAAATATAACATGTGTGACTATGCAGATTTCTGGATTAAATGCAACAATTATAATGCTCATTCATGTGCTTCATTTGATTCGTATATTGTTGTTTGACAGGGTTTAGACTATCACGAGGACGTGAAAATTTTGTTTGTTCCAGCTGTATGGTGACTTCATTCCGTTGCTCTGTGACCTTGAGAGAAGCTCACTATTGCCCTCGCTCCGTGATTCTGGAGTTGCACTGCATATGTGTAATTTCAATCAATTTTAGTTAGTTGATACCAGAGTTTGTAAGAATAATTTTTGGATTAAGAAGAGAAAGAAGCTGTGAGACCTTGCATCACTTGGGATTAGGGCAAACTTGTTGTCATATATGTGTGTTATTGTCTTTGTAAGTGAGTTTGTATCATCTAACACTTGGTATCTTCTGTTCCGTGTGATCAGATTCTACATCTCAATGCTCATTGTTGTGTGTGCTTCGTACCATTGGTATTTATTTTGATCTTGTAAAAACCTAGGATGTTGCGCTTTCCGTGGCATAATCTGATGGTGTAGTTGTTTGGATTGAGCACCAAACAATATTGTAAGAACCATATTCTGATTTCTTATTGATCATCGATTGATATTATGGTTTCTTGTTGACTATGGTTCTAAATTTTGGCTAACTTCTTGGATGTATCTGTGATCACAATTCTTGTGACTTACCTTTCTACTACATCCATGATCGTAATTCTTGTCAGCTGTAATTATTACATATTTATGATCATACTTGCACATTTCTTTTTGTTTGTCACTCGATTATAGATTTATATCAAAATATTTTATTTTAAAAATTATTCATTCTAAATTCATATAAATATTAAAAAAGTGATGCTAAATATTTCATCATCTCATCTTACTAGTTCATTAGAAGTTTGAATTATACTCTGATCATAGATTTATTCCAAAAAACTTTTATTTAAAAATTTAATCACTCTAAATTCATATAAAAATTAAAAAAATAATACTAAATATATTTTCATCTCATCATCTTAGTTTAAGAAGTTTGGATATATTTGATAAAATTTTAACGGGTTATATTTGATCACCAATTTAATCCAAAAATACTCTTTAAAAATTTATTTATCCTAAAATCATAAAAATAAAAAATAATACTAAATATCTCATAATGATATACTATTAGTCCTAAAAAAATTAGATTGATTTGGTGAAAATACTTTAATTATACTCGCTCATAGATTTGATAATGTTTGACCCGATCCGTTAAAATCGAACCCAACCCGATCATTGGTTACCAAAACAAAAACATCATGCATAATTCCAGTAATTCCAGAAGATAGAAACCGGAAATTATCATCAGAAAAAAAATATCATTCATTAAACAAGAGCTACAATCATTCATCAATTACGCTGTACTCTCAACATCCATCTCATATAAACATCCACAGACAGA